GTCCGCAGGCTTTAGGGCCTCAGATCCAGGAACTGCAACAGTAAAGTCTAGGGGAGCGACTACGGCAGGGACAGTTCCAGCACGATAGTTTTCCTCACCACAGCAAATTTTGTCTAAAGCCATAAGAAATCACAGAATCCTGCCAACATTTATGGGGACCTATAGCTAAGCATTTCAGCCCACTAAAGGAGATGAAATGAGTAAGCCACATGTTTCAACACCAAAACAAGTCCGCACCTCAGAGAAACTTGTCAGCAATTTACAAATATACTTTCTGGTATGGTAATTTATTACGATGTTTTGTCTGTTCATTTCTGTAAAGCACTTCAATGTCCTTCTGAAAGCATTACAAAAGTGCCTGAAATCAGGAGTATACCAGTGTGAAATTAAGAACCTAAAGTCAGAATATCCTGTTTTAAAACAACCAAGAACACCTTGTATGGAATATGGCTCTTCCATTTTGAGAGGCTATATTGTTTCTTTATTTTTTAATTTAAAAACAAAAAACAGCAAAGGGACCCAATATAAAAATATAGTATCGCTCCAAACAGATTAAGGGAAGCACATTTCGGAAAAACTGCAGATGCTAGCTTTATCACTCGTCAGTCATGGAAGTTACAACTTGGAGAGACTTATTAGATCATTCCTCCCATCCTCCCATCATTATGGGATTGGCTAGTCTTAAATTACTAAGAAATTAGGTTATTGTGACAATATATGCAGACACCCACACTACTAAGCTTCAGCAGTCAAGTGACTCATATTTCTATCTTTGGTACAAGCAACAAGGAAGAAGTGAGCTTTTCCTCTTATCTAATCTTCTTTGAGCAGCCAAAATTTTACTAGTTTAGGGCCTTTTGAAAAAGTTTGCGTGCTACCTGCAGTTTAAAAGTCATCATGCCTAACCAGGAAGAGCTCCAGGAGCCTGCAAATGAAAGCCAAACATGGGGTTTGTTCAAGTTTTTTGCTGTCATTCAGTCGCCTGACCAGGCTGGGTAGGATGGGATACTGTTAGGAACAAGCTGCTCAACTTACAGATTCCCCAAACAAACTCCTTAACATACTTTGGATGTGACATTACTCAAAAAAGCGTATATGTTGCATTTACTGCTACAGAATTTAAAGAAACCTTTGCAACAAAGAACAAGTTTAAGTGCTAAAATGATGTTACAACGGCATTTCGCAGTAAAAGAGAAACTTAGCTTTCTATACAGTTCATTTGATAACCCAGCCCCATCACAGGCCAAGCATCGAATATTACCGCTTCATTACAGACCCCCCCAGATTTGAAACAAAGCTCATCCCCACAAATCTCTTTTTCAGTCTCTTTTGGAAATGCAAGATGAAGACAAGTGCAGACAGGGTTGCTGAAAACCAGACGATTCTATTGTTTTCGAGTCAACAGGACAGCATGAAGAGAGCTACCAAGAAGGTCACTTCATTAACAGCTTGATATACTACTGACAAAATGTCATCAGAAATGTTAGACTAGAATCAACAGAATAATTTGTGTTTACACATGACTTCAACAGCATCAGCAACAGGTATACGAGCTACAGCCTACAACGACAGGAGTTGCAAGACTTTCTTAGGCAAGACTATTATTTGTTAAGACAAAAGGACATTACAAAATGGTGACCTTCTATTCCTTATTTCACAAAAATGACACTTACTCATAAGACTGGTGCTATTTTTACATTTCAAGAGTAAGACGAGGCATATGCACCTCTTTGCTAGAAAAGGCCTTCCCCTTTCTAACAAAGAGAAAAAAACCACCAAGCAGACAGCTCCGAAGCTTTCCAGTGGTCCATGTATCTCTACTTAGACGCCTGCCAATATTATGAGTAATTTTAACCACCATTTTTAAAAAACCAAATCGGGCAAAGAAAAAGCTACACCACTAATTTTGAATGCAAAGTACTCACACTGAGAAAGTGGTATTTTGTGAGCTGCCTCTTCAGTAAGGCGGTTTCAAAAGCACATCCCTTTAAGCATAGGGTTTAAGGCAGACTTATACAAGCACAGGAGGGAGGCTGGACGGTTTTAAGCAGCACAACTTGCAGCAAGTACCGAACGGCCACCCGAGGGGCTGAAGTACCCGAAGATGCCCATTAAACACGACCGCTCCTTCCCCTCTCCCCCCACCGCGCCCAACCAACCGGGTACACACACCCCGCCACACCGCAGCTACAACAGCAGCAGAACGGTTCACCCCCACCTCCGCCAACGCG